ATCTTATTTATTAAATTATTAGTAATTTGAATTCACATTAAATGAAGCAAAGCGAAAAATAATGAAATAATATAATGAGAATAGAACTATTTTATTCTATTTCCATTTCGATTCGCGATTCATTTTAACGTAAATTTTAAATAATTATTTAATAAATTTAATATATATATTTAATAAGTAAATCTCAATTGATATTATATTAACTTTTGTATTTGTTTTAACATTTATCTCTCTTTTCCTCCAAAATCTTACAAATATATTAACTCTCATATATTATATTCTTTATAATAAATTTTATTTAAAGAAATTAAAATATAATTAATCTGAATTGCTAATTTAATTTGTAGAGACATTAACGTTCTGCTTATTGGTGACCCATCTGTTGCAAAATCACAACTTTTGCGTTATGTTTTATGTACTGCTCCGAGAGCAATACCAACTACTGGTAGAGGATCATCTGGTGTGGGTTTAACAGCTGCTGTTACTATAGACAATGAGACAGGAGAGCGTCGTCTTGAAGCTGGAGCTATGGTATTAGCAGATCGCGGAATTATTTGTATAGATGAGTTTGATAAAATGTCAGATATTGACAGAACAGCTATTCATGAAGTAATGGAACAAGGAAAAGTAACAATTGCTAAAGCAGGAATACACGCTAGCTTAAATGCACGATGTTCAGTATTGGCAGCTGCAAATCCAGTTTATGGAAGAGTAAATGTTATATTAATTAAAAAGTTAAATGTACATTAACATATTTTTGTTTGTATTAATATTTTTTTTTAGTATGATCAATATAAAACACCGATGGAAAATATTGGTCTTCAAGATTCATTACTTTCTCGTTTTGACTTATTATTTGTTATGTTAGATATTGTAGATTCTGAACAAGATCAAATGATCAGTGAACATGTTGTTAGAATGCATAGATATAGAAATTCAAAAGAACAGGATGGAGAAGCATTATCTCTAAGTAGTAAAATAGATATATTAACTACAAAAAATCCAGATCAAATTCTTTTTGAAGAAACAGAGACTCAAATTTATCAGAAATATGATCCCTTATTGCATG